CGATGCATTTGTTTTGACCGTAAATAATATTAATATTTATTTGAAAAATGTGGAGGATAAAGTACCAATGAGTACAATCTTCCAAATATACACATATATATCTATATATATATAAAGGTTTGATTATTTTTTAAATAATAACTATTTCCTTAAAATCTATTTACTATTTCAGGAAATTAAATTAACAATTTATGGTATATATTAAATGATATGGAAATTGCGGTTCATTATTTAAGAAAGTAAGCCATATTTTAAGATACTTTAATTACTCAAATCATATGAATTAATTAATATATGGTATAAAGTTGACGGATTTATTTTTTGTATTGATGGTTGTTCCTATGGGAAATAAATTAAATAATATATGGTATAAAGTAAGCAAATTTATTTAGGTTATTTGATGACTGTTTTTAGTATGAAATTTGTTACAAAATAATCAATATAGTGTTCAATATAAGGTGTACTTTTTTCTGTAATGCAAATGCTAATATATTAATTTTTAGGCGTGTATTTCAATTTTTCGTATGAAATTAACATAATAAAATTATCGTAACTCCAACAAAATAATATGAATGGATATTTTGATATAATGTGCGTGTATCGATGTTTTTTTTAGACAAACTCTGGTCAATTTTTTTTTTTTTCTTTTTGTATAATTAGTGAGTCTCAATTTAAACCATTTATGTTACGACATTTCAAATAATTTTTGTGTGAATTGCACTGTTCATTTTTTTAGCATGATAAAAAGTGTCCATATTTTTGGCATAAAAAATCTTATGATTGATTGCTTTTACTCAATTACTTAAATTTTTTTATTTGGATATTTTATACACAAATAAATTCATTTTAGTTAATGACACAATATAAGTTCTATATTAATTTATATTTACTATTCACATAGGTTTTTAAAATATATGATAAAATTTTACCAAAATAAATATTTTATAGAACCACGTTATAGTCAAATCGAATTTCTGAATAAAAACTTTGAAGCGACACATATATTGAATCAAATATAATGTAATTTATTATCAGTTATGTGCAACGCACATGCTGTGTACTAATTTTAAAAATAGACATTTTATGTAATTTTGTACAATTTAAATTTTATATAAAATTTACAATAATTAATATAGGTACATTGTATTAAATATTGATTTCATGTTTTTAATTTATAAATATTATTTAATGAAAATTTTTAATTTATAAATATTAATAAATAACTCTTACTTGTACATCGCACGAGATTCGTACTAGTTTGAATATCATGAATTATAATATTTCTAAAAAAGTTTGAGATAATTTATTGGTTAATGTACTTTATGAAGACTACAGGACAACGAGAATACTGATCGTCAACAACATAAAACACTTTTAATCGTGTTAGATGATATAAAAATATAAAATATATATCACGTTCACGTGTACTCCCAAAGTCACAACCCAACAAACTTATTTTCATATGTTTGGCAAGTGACGGTATGGCTGAAGAAATATGAGGGAACACTTTTATGATTAGATTCAAAATAATAATCGAATTATATCTGATAAAAATAGTTTTTCCTTTATACTTATAAAAGGAAAAATACATAAATAGTGATTATTATACAAAATTTCTATGTAGCCATCAAATGGTTTTCTTATGGAATCATCTACCACTTAATGCATTGACACCTGTCAAAATTGTATTTATTGTAGGACACGTGTCTATACACTATTGGTGAATTATAAGTCGAGCCATCAGATGACTCCATAGCAAAACTGAATTATTATATATGATTATATTTATTTATATTTATATTATTCATCTTGAACTTATATGTAGGTAATTTATAAAATGATTACAATTATAGATGACACATACAGTTAAGAAAATATGATACCAAATATTATTTTATATGAATAATTTATATTAATTCCATTGAAATCTAAGATCATGAGATAATAAATAATATTAAAAAACTGTACAAGAACTTCATAAGCAAGTGGAATGAAAATCTATCACCTAATCATCAACATTAAGAGAGAAAAGAATTAAGCATCTGTATTATTCATTAATTTTTTTTACTTACTGTTCCCATTTTTTCATTAGAAACTCATTGTTATTAACGCTTTAATATTTTATCCCAACCTCTTTATATTGCGAACTTAATGATAACTCATTTTATTATTATTATATTAATATTATTATTAATTTACTAAATCCTTCACATGATTTTCAAATTTATTATTTTTCTTTACTGCAAAATTCATCCAAAGAAAAATTATCAGCTCCCACATTGCACTTACACTTTACTATACTAGTGTATATAAAATGGTAAAAATTTAATCCTATATATCTATAATTAAACTACTATATATCTATAATTAAACTACTACTATCTAATTGGCAACAGGATGCGAGGCTTGCAACAGTGATAGTTTTTTAGTATTAATTTAATTCTTATACACATGATACATGTTCAATTTTTTTTTATTTTTTTTTAACGACAGTTTTTCAGGTTCTCTGTTAATTTTGTAGGCTCATCAAAAGACGATAGTGGGGCACTTGTATGTGGTAATTCATTAATCCTTGTGCTACTCGTATTTAATATCATAATCCCCTTTTTCTGCCCTGCCTCACAATGTCATATATATACATATATATACATATTTCAGGCATCATAATGGGTGTTACTGTTGCGAGTCTGTTGATTATCACTACCACAATCTGTTGCATTAGAAGAAGACATTTACGAGGCCGTCACAACCTAAACGTCGAGACATTTCTACTCCAGCACGGATCTCTGGCTCTCAAGCGCTATAAATACACCGAAATCAAGAAAATGACCAAATCCTTGAGCGAGAAGCTAGGACAAGGAGGATACGGCAGCGTGTACAAAGGAAAGCTACCTGATGGCATCCTTGTCGCAGTCAAGCTTTTGACCGATACAAATAGCAACGGAGAGGAGTTTATTAACGAAGTCGCCAGCATCAGCAGGACTTCCCACGTCAACATCGTCAATCTCTTGGGTTTTTGCTTCGACACACAAAAGAGAGCTTTGGTGTACGAGTACATGCCTAACAAATCTCTCGACTAGTACATTTCTCACGGATCACTCCAACGCTTGGATATCGAAACACTTTATAAGATTGCAATTGGAGTAGCCAAAGGCCTCGAGTATCTGCACACGGGCTGCAACGCCAGGATTGTTCATTTCGACATCAAGCCTCAGAACATTCTTCTCGACCAAGACTTTTGTCCGAAAATCTCCGACTTTGGGTTGGCTAAACTGTGCAAGAAGAAGCAGAGTTTGGTGTCCGTGCTTGGGACGAGAGGCACGCCTGGGTACATTGCTCCCGAAGTCTTCTCCAGAAATTTCGGAGGAGTTTCGCATAAATCGGATGTTTATAGCTACGGGATGATGGTTCTTGAGATGGCTAGAGCAAACGCTCTCGTCGTTCGCCAATCCAATATGACCCAGTCGAGCGAGAATTATTTTCCTGACGGAATTTACGAGCGTGTAATAGATGATGTTACTAATGGTATTACCACACATGAAGACATAACTTCTCAGAAAATGCTTTTGGTAGGATTTTGGTGCATTCAAACAAACCCATCGGCCAGGCCTTCTATTTCCATGATTGTGGAGATGTTAGAAGGGAGTTTTCAATCGATACAGATTCCTCCTAAGCCGGTCTTGTTTACTCCTGCTCTGCCCGTCTTACAAGTTTCCTCGTCATTTTCGTCATATGTTGAGACGGCAGAGCATTCGGCTCAAGCTGCAGTTTCAAGCATAGGCGCAAAGATGTAACTGTTATAAATATATGCATGCGGCGCTTGGTCAGATTTTCTTATAAATATACGCGGCGCTTATATCTTAATTGATCTGTTTTTTGCAGTCTATAGACATAATGCATTGATAGACTAAAGAGAGAAAACGGTAAATTTATTAATCTCTCTTTTCAGTAATTCAACCTCCCAGGTCAATCCATCTCTGTACCCAACAAGTTATAAAAGTATGGTTGTCATCTTGTTAGATAGAGTCTAACTACTGAACCCGAAAAGCCTATAGCAAGTAACTAAATCTTAACTGAGCATAGAGAAGTGCATGCATGTGTGTATATATAGAGAGAGAGAAAGGATCATATGAGAATGACTCTTAATACGAAAAATGAGAATGACTCTTAATACGAAAAATGAGAATAAGTTTGGACCATGGGATTAAGTATATCAATGTCTATGATGAAGTCAAATAATGGTCAATCATTAATGGCAATCTAGTAATATTGACCATAGTGTGGTCAAATATGTGTATTTGACCAATAATTAAGGGTAAGGTGGTAAATAAACATATAAAGTGGGACCTACTCATTAAATCAATTCAACACACATTTGTCTCTCTCCTCAACATCTCTTCTCTCATTTTTCTCTCTCCTCAACCTCTCTTCTTCCCATTTTTACGGATCTGAAACAGAAACGCACACAATACACACACATACACACACACACACACACAGTCCAGCAGTCCGACCACCACATCGCCGCCGCCTTCCGCCAACATCCATCCGTTCTCGCCCACCTTCCGGCCACCGGAGCATCGCCGCGCAGCCGCCTCCGCCTGTACCTGCACAACCACTGCCGCATCTCATCTCGCCGCCGGCTTTCTACCTGTCGGCGGTTTTTAGCCCGCCGTCGTCCCCTTTCTCAACTTGTCGTCGCCATTCTCAGTCCACCATCAGCATCCCGCCACTGCCATTGCCACTGTACACCAGTCCGTCGTCGAGCACCTCCGTCACCACCCGACTCCAGCAACGTCGCGGCCGTCGCTTCCAGACCGACCCCCGCTTCCAGCCCTTGCCGTCCGTCGTCCACTCATGCCGCCTCCGTCAACGTCGGGGCCGTCAGCCATTTTAATGTCGTGAAACTTCTGGTCATCTTGACTACTCGCCGAAAAATCGCAGGTGAACATTGGCGGCGAATAACCGGCCAACGTTGGCCGGCAAGAGCACTGTGATTTTGGCCGAATATAGCAATTGTTATATGATGTGTGTTTGTTTGAGTTTTGGGGTTTTTTATGTGAGAATTTTAATTACTGTAGGGGCCTAATTGCAATTTATAAAATTTTATTTTATTTCAATTGAGTGTAATTGACAAATTGATAATATAATAAGAGTTTAATACATACACAATAATGCATAAAATGCACTATATTGATTTTTTATATTTCAATAGAAAATCATAGTTTAATATTTGCATACAAAAAATAATAATAATAACAATAATAATAATATTTTTAATATAGTTTTGTTTTTATTTTAATTATTTAAATAAAAAAATATCATCGTATCGAAAATACTCGATATATATAATAATAATAATCGAAACAAAATATAAATTTTCGTACCGAATTTATGTTTTTTGGATCTCATTAGATTTTGTGCAATATGGTAGACGTTTATGTGCAGTTAGTATATCCATTATGTGCATTCGCAATACATATAAGAATATATATATATATATATATATATATATATATATATAATAGTATAAATTTTTATTAAATATATAAATAAAAAAGAATTGGCAATATTTTTCATATAGTTCGACAGGTTCAGTTATTTTATTTATTTAAAAAGACTAAATTCGACATTTAACCAATTAATTTATTCGATCGATTAGCAGAATTACCGTATTTTTTGGTACGCGTAGTGTGTTGTTTTATAAGTTGTAACATGTCGTGCTATAAAGTGCACCATATTTCTGTACACAGTGCAACATATGGATGTATAAAGTGCAATTATGTAGATATGTTTTTTTATATTTATACCGCGTAATATTTTTGACGGGAGTTGCTCACGTTAATTATGCTGATAAAGTGCAACGTGCGTATTGTAAAGTGCAATGTGTTGTGATATAAAGTGTAACATCCCGCTATATAACGTGCACTAATTTTGTATATTATGTGTATTTGAAAACTATTTAATAGATATAATTGTACATTGAATTAACTTAAATCATTAAAATTTCTTTTTATTTACTATGTTTTATTATATAATTTACTCATTACTATAAAATATTTTTATGCTATTTTAGTATTTTACATTATTATTATTTAATAATTTATTTATTATTTACCATTTTTTAGATTTATACCGCGTATCATTTTTTGCGGGAGTTGTTGACGTTAATTATGTTGATAAAGTGCAACGTGACATCTTGTAAAGTGCAACATTTCGCTATATATATTGCACTAATTTATACCTTCCCATATAAATAATGTGCATTCGAAATATAATTTATTTATTATTATAAAACATTTTTATATTGTTTTAATATTTTTACATTGTCTTTATTTTATAATTTATTTATTATTTAATATATGCACAACAAAATATATAATAAACAATTTTTTATTACCTTTAAATAATTATAGATTCGGCTCATGGATTAAATTGAAATATAATTAAAATTTATGAAATTACAAATAGGTCCCTAAACATAACTTAATTCTCAAAAAGATGCCCAAATCATACAAGAAATAAGAATACATTGCAGCCATTAGATCGGATAATTTAATGGCCATAAAAAAAGTCAAAGTTATACCTTCTCTAAGAGTAATACAACAATTTTAATACCAAACTAAACTGTGGGCTCCACCAAAAAACCAAATCATCCCTATCATCCACTTACCCCATGGGACCCACACAACCACTCTCTTTCACACACGCAACACACACTCAGCACACACTTAACACACACTCGTCACACACATACGCGATTCTCGTCCCAACCAACCAATCCATGGCGGCTCTACCCCCATCGCCGCCCACTGCTGGCTTCCGACTTCTCCGTCATCTGCCGCTCCAGTGCCGCTGGCAAGTTAGATTCCCGTCACAGAGTCGGCACCCACGTCCACCACCCATGACCGTCGCGTCTTTCTTCAACTACCCGACATCCGCCGTGCTCCCACCCGTCCCGTCACTGATCAAATCTCTCTTCCGACGAGGGGTTGTTCTTGAGTCAGTGCGGTGGTGGAAGAGAAGCCCGCAGCCAAGCTGCTCCGGCTGTTCGAGGGAACTCCACAGCCAAGCTGCTCCACGGCTCGATTATGTCCAGCGACATGGAAAAAAGCAATTTCGAGAGTGAGGAAGATGCCCGATTTCTGAAATTAGGGCCGGAAGGAGTGGGATTGTTTTTGTAAATTAGATAATTTGAAGGGACCTGATTGTAAATTAATGAGTTTTAACTATATTTCAATTTAGCCCATGGGATAAATTTGTGATTTATAGGCATATATTATTTTATATGTATATAAAGACATATTTTATACACATATATATTATTATTTTCAACCGAAAATTATATAAAATATTAAACAAAAAATATTAATATACTAAATATATTCTAATAATATAAATAATAAATTATTTTAATTATTAAGATTAATTCAATTAACCAACCAAATTATCCAATTATTTCAGTTCGATTTTAGTTTGGAATCGCACATACCAAAAAACTAGCAGTGCAGAATACACAATAGTATAAAATATGATGAACACTAGTGACCGTCAGACTGCACAATATGGTTAGACCAAATGCACAATAACATAACAAGCCATATTTTCACAAATATTAAAAATTTGATTATTTTGGTACGGTCCGGCCTTGTTAAAAACAAAAACAAAAACGAGTGAACTATATAAAAAATAATTATTTTTTTATTTTATCTATATATATATTATTTATTTTCAACAAACAATATTATTAAACATTAAATAAACAATTATAGATACTAAATATATTTCCATTAAAAAAAGTAGATGCACTTGAAGTGCATATTAGTGTTATACGAATTGCACATTATTGACTACCAGACTGCACTATATAGATCGAAACGACGAGAAGAAGTTTTGGTTTTGATTTATATTTGGTTTGATTATATATTTTTTACTTTAAAATTTTAGGTATCTAGTATCGATGACAACTTTAATGATTAAAATAACCGAAACGATCGACCTACACAAAAAAAACATTATTTTTTTATAT